AGTATTCTCCAGAAAAGAGTGGTGGCTTGTTACTACTTCCACCGTCTTTGAAAACCGGGTTGGTACTTGCGGAAGCCATACTGAATCGTTAGGAACAGGTTACCTTAACCTGCTCTAATGCCAATTGTAAGAACAGAGTATGCCTAAGAGGGGGGGGGGTGAATTAGGACTTTAGAAATTTTTCCGGTTTTTATGGTATCTTGAAAGATTACTGGTTTGTTTTTGGTTATGAAAGCAGAAGAAGAAAAATAAAAGAACAATGGACACCAGGATTTATAGTGGTTCCCCTCACAATCCGAGAGTACTCCACTCCCCTTTCAACATGAAAGAGAGTTTTCACTATTGTTTAATAAAGTACAACCTATCACACCATCAACCGGTGAGGCCTACTATCAAACAATGAAACTAACAAGTGTACAAGAACAATCCTCTTGTAAACACTCACCCTTGTGTCCAACAATCCTGGATCACAAGTCAAAATACACAAGTTTGTAAAGATTTTGATTTGAGAGTAATGATATCAAAGTTGATCTTCTCCAAATGATCAGAATTCACTCTTACAATTTTCAATACAAGTGTTCAAGGATGAATATGAAATTTATGCACATATGAACACTTAATGAAAGTTTTTGAAAATGGTGAATTTGATTCTAAGACAATTTGAAAATGAATGTAGAAAGTGTTTGGAGATTGAAAAGTTTTTTGTGTTGTGTTCTATATATTTTTCAAAATTGAAAAACTCAGAATATATATGAGTAAAATACCCTTTCATAAAGGTACATTGAGTAGACATCAAAAATATGAAATGGTATAATTTTTAAATAATTTTTGAACTTGAAACAAAGCAATTTTTCACAGTACGTTCAGTGTTAATCGGTTAACCCATATGGTTAATCAGTTAACACTGGTACGTTAGCCCAGAAATTTCAAAATTCAAATTGGTTAACCGGTTAACCTATATGGTTAATCGGTTAACACTGCTAATTTTCAGAAAAATGCTTTTTAAAATTAATGTTATACCAATTCTAAAGTTTCAAAAACATGCTTATGTATTATGTAAAAAATGCTTGATGTTTTTGAACACTTGTATATAAAATTATAAGGGTAGAATTTGATATACCGGTAATGCAGCCAAGTCTGGAAGAATCATAGTTCCATATGTAGCTTGACTTGAAAGATATCTTGATTTTGATCTTGAGAACTTTGAACGGCTTGTCTTTTTGCAATCAAGAGATGATCTTGAGTAGTATTGACATCATCAAAACTTGAGACTGAAGCATGCTTCTACAACTTTGTGGTACACCTAGAGCTTATTGCGTTAGACTCGATACATGTATTTTGTAAAAAAAATATTTATTGAAGAACACAAGGTCACTGAAGAAGATAGTGGGACACAATTAGGAATTAAGGAGAGTAAAATGGGTTAAAAGAGTGATGTGCATCATGATCCTTCATAGTGGGAGCATGTTGAGGGCTCGCAGAGAAGTCAAAGTACAAAGAGATCATGTGCAAAACCAACTGAAAGTCAACTGTGTATTGTGTCTTCAAAACTAAATATTTGTCTCAATTTCCCATTTTCTTCCATCAGTACATTGATGACATTTTTGATGTTGTTGACGATGAAAATTGTGGTTTTTGGGCTATTGCGCTTTACTTGGATGAGGCAAAGAGTGGTGGCCTTTGATTCAGACACAATTAGATACTGAAGTTAGGAGTGCATTACAGGTCGATGACTTTGGTGTGAAGGGTCATAAAAAGTGGATGATGATTCTTGATATGATTTAACCTATTGCTTCTAGATACAATGTTATACTAGTCTCATTGTCCACGAATCTTAACATCACATTCTTCCCATTAATGATAGTTTCATGCATAGTGTCAAGTAGACACAAAATGATTACAGTAGGTTTTGTTAACAACAATCATTGGGTGCATGTGAACTTGCAACACAATTGTCATTTACCTCCCGTCACAGACCGATGGTGACAAAACTTTAGTGAAGTTACAAGAGCACATGAATCACTATACGTAGTATGTATTAGGCACTGGGAAGAAGTAACTAGAAAGTCGACACAATTTGTTTTGTAATGATATTATAACACTTTTGCATTATGTGTATATGTTTTATTCGCTTAGTTTTGTTTAAAAAATTAAAACGATATATATTTTTCAAAAATTTCAATACTGTCTACAAGACTTTTTAAATTTCCTAAAATTTTAGTGCATACTGGATTTTTTAAAAATTTGTTTCAGGATTTTTTCAAATATTTGGTAACTTCTTTACGGATTTTTCAAAAATCTGAAAATTCATCATATTTTTTTTCTAGAAAACCTTAATTTTTTATCGGCAGTTTTGAGAGTGTCCGACATTACTGCACTCTTTTACAAAATATCCGATAATTTTGCAATAAATTTGATAATTCTACATCCAAACGAGAAATTTAACAAAATATCGGGTAATTGCATAAAAAATCCGGAATTTATCAAAACTTTTTAAAAAACCGACAATTTATAACAAAGGCAACGACGTAATCACAATTCTTTTGAAAGGGGGATGGAGTGTCAGGTACAACTTGGAGGTGACAGAAATATTCCTCTTGAGGATAAGGTTAACAAACATGGTATGGATAAGGTTAACAAACATGGTATGGATACTCTTTTAATGTCTACATTTTAAAAGTTGCAAGACAGTGATCGAAAAATGAAAAGTTATGTAATCTAAGCAAACAAAATAATTCATTAATAACCCACTGCTGAATAATTATATATGTAACCACTTCAATCTTTCTTTGTTAACAAAGAAAAAAGCAAAACGAAGTTTCCAACAATGACAAAGAAATAAAAATAAAACTGCTAATTCTATAGTAGCCAAATCAAGCATTTGGTTCCATTTTCACTTTCTTCAACGGTTTGGTGCCTGAAAATTGTGTAGCCACATAAACTTCACAGTGAACATCTTCTTCAATATTACGACCGACAGAGACATCCTTAGCTGGGGTATTTGCACAGTTTGTATCAGGATCATTTTCTCCGAATGCAGGTAATGATTGCTTCAAATATAGAAAAATTCAAATGTCAAAATGAATAACTATATTACTTAGACAAATATTCTGTAATCTCTAGAATTTCCTCATTAGTTAGCAACTTAGAACCACTCCATCCATTTGGAATTGAAAATGACGAACAACAAAATCCAATCAACATTCATGTTTACCAATTTATATAGATCTGTTTAAAAAGTCAGGAACACAAACCTTCTGAATCCTTGATCATTGCATGAGTGAGAATAATGACAATAGCACCACTATTTTTGGCATCATTGTAGTATTCCAAAAACTTAGTTCCATAGCTTTCCCATAAAATGCAGTTAATAAAATTACCATTGTTATGAATAGTGAAAATAAGTATTTTGCATGACATATTACAACATACTTTTAACTGCAAAAAAATCTAAAATATGTAATGCTGACATATTTTATCTTAGGTCTTTGAGATTGAGTGACACACAAGTCATTTTCCCTGGTGTGTTACACTGGAAATTGTTGATCTCATAAATAACACCAATAATATCTAAAAAAATAGTAACCAAAGTAAAATTAATATTATGACATTTATTATAAGAATATACTAATAATTTCATCAAATAGCCTATCAATATTTTCTGATTCTAGTTCCCTGCAAAATTCTTGGATCAAAATTGAGTGACTTGACTATTTTGCTTGCCAAAGAAAATAAAAATAATTGTTAACAAATCCGTAGCCTCCGTAAACTATAAATAAAATGAAAATGAGTGAAAGAAAATGAGAGATTAAAATGAAATATGAGTTTTTATGATACCATAGAATCGGAGACGAAGATTTGCAGAGCCATGAGTTTCTGCATTTCCGAGATCGTTTCGACTTATTTCCCAGAGGTTCGGCGGCGGAGCGCTAGGGTTTGATATATATATATATATATATATATATATATATATATATATATATATATATATATATATATATATATATATATATATATATATATATATATATATATATATATATATATATAAAGAGAGAGAAGGCTCTGATGACAAAGAAAGAGACTAAAATGAGAGAGGGAAAGAATAGAGAGAGAATTCTAAGAGACGAGAAAGAGAGAGAAGGCGAGAGAAAGAGAGAAGGTGCGAGTGAGAGGAAAATGGTAAGAGTTTTTCAAAAAAAACTTCTGCCACTTGGCAAAATGGGTTCTTCTAATTGAGTGATTAATTATTATTTAATAAATTACATAAAAGGGTTTTAAGTAGTGTAAATGAAAATTTAGTGAAAAGGTATAAATGGTAGATTGCTGACAATGAATAGTAATGGATAGGTAGTTGATATCTATAGGTGGTTCTGACTTTGATTTTCATAAATTGATTATCTTTTAATTTCGTTCAATTTGGTAACTTCTTTCCTCCTATCTAAAAAAATTATTCCGCCAAGTTTCAACAATTTCTGTTTTGGAATGAGAAGTCCACTCAAGGAATGTCGTGGTATAAGACATCCGATTTTAAATAAACTTAAACAAAATATTATCATTCCGAAATTGTAATCCAAATGGTGTCCGGAGATTAAAATTTGAACTTATTTTAAGCAAAAATGAACGTGCCTCAGTGATGAAATAATTTTGTGCAAAATGCATGCGTCTGTAAATTCTAATTTTATTATCCCAGAATTTCCTGCGGATGTTCTTGCTGATGATACCTCGGAATTTCATATTAATATCAGAAGTTCACCATTTTCTATAAGTAACCAAAACAACCTCAAATCGCATTCATTAAACGATTACATAGATGAAACAAGATCAAATCCTACAACAACAGACCAAAGGACCAACAGTGTTGTCACACGATCACACCAAACTGAGAGATAATCAGAGAAACTTTCCCACATGAAAAGAATCAAAACACAAATAAACATATTATTATAGTTGAGTTGACTGAAAAACAGCGATACGATTGATACTCATGTATGTTACGTCTAGCAAATCGGGAATGGCGAGTCACATATGTCAGCAACCTTAATGGCATTAGGAGAGGTAACAAGTTTCTTAAGACTAGGATCTTTCAAATATTTGCAAAGACAAGGCTTCTGTTCCTTCAATTTACTGCAACAAGTTGCAGATGGAGGGTTTGAGGAAGTGATCGCATTTGCACATGCACTCAGCTGTAATGCATTGCATGTTACTTCTCCTACTGATAACTCTGTCTGTGCAAGGAACAACATAAGCGTAACGCACAACGTTACATATGAAATCTTCATTATCAAAGATTGAAACTAGTGGATATATGCATCATGGTATGACACTCTCTTTACTATTTATATATATACGAGGTAAATTGTATAGATTATTATATAATGTTACGTGACCTTAAGAAAAGGGTGGTGTGTTCTATAAAAAGTTATCCATCAAATAAAGTTGGTCGCTGCATAGTTTGATTATGGTTATGAATTTCCGGAGGTCTTTTGCTTTATTGTGCAGTGATTGCTCAATTGCGTATTCATTGGATTGGTCATTTGACTAAGGTTTTGCTAGAGGATTATAGGTTTTTTTTGGCCCAACTTTTTTTCCAGGAAACATTTTTCTCAAATTTTTGAAAATTTTGTGTAGGATAGACATTTTGTCTCGAATAGAGGTCACGTTTAATTATAATTTAATTTTAAAAATATTTTATGAAGTTTTATTTAATTATAATTTAATTCAATAAATTTTGAGATGTGATAATATGTTTTGTATGTTTTTATTTTATTGATCATTTGCTATAAACATAAAAAAAAAAAAAAACTTCTTTTTTGTGTTGATATTGAAAATAAATATTTAATGTTGACCGTCAACCTTGTACACATTCACATCGCCGAAAGTCTTTCGGCCTTGAGCGTGACATGCTACATAATGCTCCTTATAAAAAAGGTAATGCATCAAAAGAAATACTACCAACAAAAAACTACAATGTGAAGTAGTGAAGTGAGTTAATGAAGTGTTGTGCCTACTCAAAATATAGTTATTTAAAGTTTGAAAATTCACATAAAATATTATTGCAGTCCATTACATAAAAAAGTTGATTTAATATTCTTATTAATCATGTTTCTTAATTTCAAAGTTTATTTTCATCGTTTAATTTTAAAAAAATTCATATTAATCTTTAAATTTTAGAAAAATACAATGTTAATTTTTTTTGTCTAATTAATAAAGAATTTAGCGATTAACTTTTGAGTTTTTTCATTACTAATAAGACACATTGAGTTACTGTGAAATTTGGTAAATAACTTCTGGTCTATTAATTTTGGGTGAGATTGAGTAACTTGCAGGATCGACCATACAAATCATAGGACATGTACTAAGTTTAAAAGAATATCTAAATTGAACTCCACGTTCGACTATGATCTAAAGGAACTCCGCGTTCGACTATAAAAACTTTGTAAAGTAAAAACAACTTGGAAATTGACAAGGCTGTAAAATAAAGGGTGCAATTCTTAAAGCGTCAAAAGTAAAAGGCAAGATGTAAAATACTTTGAAAATAAAGGCAATGATGTAAAGGCTTGAATTTGATAAAAGTGCAAGAAAGTAAGTATGTAAGACGTCGAAAGTAAAAGCAACAATGTAAAAGGTTTGAATTTGATACAAGTGCAAGAAAGTAAATGTGAAGACAAATATTTAGAAAAATGCAGGAAAGTAACAGTCGAAAGCAATTAAAAAGACTTTTAAATAGCAAGTTAAAATAAAGTGCAGAAGAAAATCAACTGAAAGTAAAGATTAAAAATAAAGTTTCAAGGAAGAACATGTAAATACGAAAGATAAAGTTCAGGAAAAGACCTTTAAGCATGAAAGATAAAGTTTAAAAGATGAAGGAGAACATGCAAGATAAAGTTTAAAAGATAAAGCGCAGAATAAAAAACATCATATAAATGATAAAGATACATAAATTGCATTGATAAAAAGAAATGGTGTTACATCACGTACATTCTCTCAAACTCGTTTCTTTACACGCGGGTACTTTGAGTAATTTGGAGTAACTTGTACAAGACAAATGAACACACTTACTTTATGGAAATAACCCCTTTTTATAATGCTAGAAAATAACTACTAAGTGACGGTTGTTTCTTCAAAACGTGTCTTTTGGCGCTTTTTCTTGACTTCCACCGTTCCCACATTCGCCAACTTCTCTTTTGAAATTCAAATATTAGGAATTTTCCTCCAGCCTTAGTGGTAACTGCAGCGCGCTTCTTGCAGCATTCTCACGGTCGAAGGACTTTCCAACACTTAGCAATTTTTCCAGAGGTTTTCACAACCTCTCTTCGACTCAGGCTTCACTAAAAACTGGGTCGAGGCCTTCTTATGCTTAAAAATAATATTTTGACTCGAGATGACTCTGATTTTGCTGGCGTTGAAAATGAGAGGCAACAGTAGCGTGGGATACGCTAGTGCAATACTATGGCGGTGATGCATCCGTGAATAAAGTAAAGTTACAGTCTCTAAGCAAGCAATATGAAAATCTCAAGATAAAGAACAACGAGAAGGTGCCTAATTACATCTCGAGGGTGTTTGTGGTCATGAATGAGATGAAGTCTTGTGGAGAAACATTCTTTGAACAAGTAATCATTAAAAAGGTATTGAGATCACTTACTCATCCGTTTGATTACATAGTTGTAGTCATTGAACACTCTAAAGAGACCAACACCATGATAATTGAAGAGCTTCATAGTAGTTTAGAGGCATAAGAGTTGTGTCTGACTGAAAGAGAATCTAAAAGGGAAACCTAACAGGCTATGAAAGCTCAGACTCTGAAAGCTAAAGGTGATAAAAATACATAAGAAGGGGGGGTTGAATTATGTTATCCATTTTTGTTTTGCTTCTGAACAGAGTTCAGATTCTAAACCATGTTCAGATTTTGATTATAAGTTACAACAGAATAATAACTGAAGCAAATAAATAACATATTAACACACAAAGATTTATCCTGATTTTTCCCAAATTAAAGGTAGTCCAGTCCCCTTGAGATTTTTCGTTATAATCAAATCATGATTAAAATTGCTTATGGGCTCGAGCATAAAACTTTTCTACTCAGACCCTAGCCTGAGACTTCCTACTTAAACCCCTCAAGTTCAAGACTTCATCCTTAAATTCCATGAATTCAATACTTCCTGCTTAGACCCTCAGCCCAAGAATTCTTGCTTAAACCCCAAGGTTCAAGACTTCCTTCTTAAATCCCACAAATTCAAGACTTCTGTTTATACTCTCAAGTACAAGACTTCCCTGCTCAGATTCTACGAATCCAACATTTCTGCTTAGACCTTTAGTCCAAGACTTTCCCGCTTAATCAACAATATGATCAAGACTTCAATGCTCAAGCACATAGCAAAAGACTTACTTGGCTCAAGCTCACAACAAGAGACTTTGATGCTCAAGCACATAACAAAAGACTTTCTTTCTAAACTACTAAACAAAATATGTTTAGTAGAATAAACAATAAATTGTACTTGATACAATAAGAGGTACAAGGTAATAACCATAACAAAGATCATAGCTCTTAAGATTTCTAAGATATTTATTGTTTAAGAAATCTTAAGGCTTTGTACAATTTACAATATAACATAAATTTTTCATACTCGATTGTGTTGCCATTGTTGATCTTGTTATTCTTTCATTCTAATAAAAGCATGAAACGCTTATTTCTTCTTGGCTCTCTTTCTTTATTTTTCTTGTTGTTGATTCCATATTGAATCTTCATCTACTTATATAGCAGTTGCAGAATGATACCCGTTGGAAGAGATAACTTGTACAAGTGTTTTTGTTACTCCATAGTACACGAGACGTTGAAGATATTGTCATACCCCAAATTTTTACTACCTTTACATGGTTTCTAGTGCCACTTTATTTCGAATGAATAAAATGACACAATTGGCAAGACTCCATGTGTAAGGAGTTGTGAGTGTGAGAGGTTGAGACTCCATGTGTAAGGATTATTAGTTTTATATTTTAAGTTATTTTAAATTGTTTAAAGTTTATTTATTTTTAACTAATTATTTAATTTGGGCTTTAGAAATGGGCCTTAGGACATTATTGACAATTTAGAGTTAACCCTAATTTGTTCCCTATATATACATATGTTGCATTGTTGAAAGGAGAAGACTGAAAAAAAACCTAAGAGGAGTGTCGTTTACAATTATTTCTTCTTCTTCATCTATTACCGATATATATATATATATATATATATATATATATATATATATATATATATATATATATATATATATATATATATATATATATATATATATATATATATATAAGATTATTTTTTGATCGAATTATGTCGATATGATGTTTGCACATTTGTGTGCATGACGCGTGACATTTGTGTTAGTTCGATCTGGTTGCGATGACCATACCCTATATTTTTTTTCCATGGGTTTTCTCGATATTTTCCCTTTCTCGTTGTGGAATAAATAAAGTTCGGTGGCGACTCTTATAAGTCCATCCGTGATCGTGCAAACCCTAGTTTTATGCTCGCGAAGATCGTATTTTTTTGAGGTATGACAAATGGCGACTCTGCTGGGGAATACGGTTCAATCCTAAGCAAGTCAAGCCTAGTCTAGGTTTCTTTCGCATGTTTGAGTGTTTGTTTATCTTCCTTAACTTGCTTATATTTTCTTTACTTTTAATTGTTTTTTATATTATATTTGTGGTTATTTGTCATCATGAATGGAGTCTTTGATTGCAAACATGTGAGAAAGGCTTATACCCGAGCCTAGAGTGAACACATAAGATAGGAGAGGTTGAGTAGTATGGGGCACCGAGGAATTTCTCCTCATGTAGTTCGATACGAGAACCTCGCTTAGAGTAGATTTTAATGAGAATGTTGGCGACCGTCAAGCTTTTGGCGTGGACGGTCAATGTTTTCATTGGGATCCATGACTCTAAGGACTTTTTTTAGAGCCTTGAACTATTTGAATAAAACTAGGATTGATGGTCACGTAGTATGGGGCACCGAGGTGTACTCCTCGTGTAGTTCGATACGAAGATCTCACTCAGAATAGACTTTCTTGATGGAGTCGTTTTCCTGGAAATCACTGACATACGCAATGAACAATCAAAGAGGTCCATGACTCTGAGCACCTTGTCTAGAACCCGATGTCAATGGTCATGTAATATAGGGCACCGAGGAGTTCTCCTCGTGTAGTTCGATATGAAGACCTTACCCGAAAGAGGTTCATATGATGGAGTCATTAATCATCATGTTCATGGCGTATCCGATGAACAA